GTCAATGCTCTTTTGGCAAAAGGCACTGGCCAATCTCTTCCACCGAATTTTATTATTCATCAGTCACAGTAAAAGGCATATGTAAACATGTGCAGTACATGAAATTACCATAGAAACTAATGCAGGCAAGGCTTTAAAGAGAAGAGTCAAAGCATTTTCAAGTTAGAAGCAAGGTAGACAAAATATATGGTTGTAATTAGAGCATTGTCCTTCAAGTTATGAAGGCACTAACTGTGGGAATGGAATTTGGTGCAATTTACTCCAACCTCAGCTATGGATGTTAGTTCCATTAGTCCCACAGCTTCATAGGCCATTACTCTGGTCTTGGCTGTGGCCATTAGCAGGGAGGTCATGTTAACCTTTGTGCTACCACAGTGCTCACGAGATACTTCTGTGAGTCATGTAGCTTCAGTCAGACTTGCTTCTGAAGCCAACTGAGGGGTTTACCTCTTTGCAGCCTGCAATGCTTACAGTATGTTTTGGGCATAATCAATATTGTGGGCTCTGGCATCATGTCTGTATCATATTGGTGTTGGTATCTGCTGATTGACTTTTCTTGTTTAGTTTTGTGTCTTCTTGGTAAAAGAAACCTGAACATTTTGAGTCTTATGAGACTCTGAATGCTATTTAAACCTTCTTTTTTAGCCGTCTTCTTTATAAAACTTCTCTAGGAAGAAAGAGTTGGTGTTGCCATGTTATTTCCATATGGGGATGGAAGTCTCAGTCTCCACCTGGCATTCCTGACACTCCAGGTGGGGGGAATTCTTCCTTTCTGCTGTGTGGTTCAACTTAAACTCCAAACCCTATCCTGTCTTCTAGCTCCACACTAAAACTCCATTTACACCTCCCTGGTTGGAAGGGGGTAAGTATACCCATTTACCTCTCCTCACCTGTGGACATCAGGTAGGGGGGCTCATTATTTCCCCTACTTGGCTGCTTTTGCTAGTACCCAAGGTTATGGTGGGGAAAGTTTATTATAGCCAAATCAGAATGGAGATCAGGGCTCCCAGTTTAGCCTTCATTTGTGTGGCAAAGAGAGGGATTACAGTTTTCCTGCAATAAGGCAGAAATAATCTAATAGTTTTCTGTCTTTCTGGGTTGCACATTTTCTGGATCTTTGAGTAAGAGACAGGAAGCTTTGGTTGGCCCCTTTTTTGGTCTGTGCTTATGAAATTTCTTGGATGCTATGTTCTTTAGTTTCAATTCTGGGATATAAGAGGCAGAAGGAAAACCCAGAAAACTCAATACTGTGCTGTCCCTTGGACCCTAAGTTTCTTATCCAGTCTTCTTTATTCTCTCAAACTTTCAGAGTCTTTTGATGTTTGTCATACATGTAATCCCCAGGATATTTAGTTATACTTACAGGAAGAATAGAGGAAAGTGCATCTGCTATAGTGCAAGTTATTTATTTATTTATTTATTTATTTATTTATTTATTTATAACATTTCTCCTTCTGCAAAATTGGGAATGGTTCTCTGGGGTAGATACTGAGAAGTAAAATTGCTTGGTCGTAAATATATGTACTTTAGGTTTTGAATTAAATACCTTTCAAGATGTTGCTCTGGTGTACACTCACCCTGGCAGGGTATGAATGTGCTTTTCTCCCTCAATACTCTTGCAATATGTGTCATTGTTATTTTTTTTTTTTTGAACCGGGGATTGAACTCAGGACCTTGCACTTGCAAGGCAGGTGTGGTGCCACTGAGCTAAATTTTTGGTTTATCATTGTCAATTTTAATTGTGAATTTTAAAAATTCACCATCTTGGGTGAAAAAAATGACATCTTTTGTGTTATTTGGGGACTTCTTTGGTTACTAGTACAGGCAAATATCTTTTGCAGAAATTTTTTATTATATGGACATTCTAATGAAGAGACACAAAAAGGAAGAAACAAATTAGGCAGGTAATTTCAGAGAGTAATAAAAGAGTGTGAGGGCTTGAAGGATCTGAGAGCTGAATGAGGAAGAAGCTATGAGCATGAAAGGCAGTAATGCATGATAATCATTGGGTGGTGCTTGGACAGACTTACATGAGATAGCAGGTATTTTGCCATATAAAACTGTCTCATGTAAGGGGCTACTATTCTGAACATCAGGGACAAGGAAATTCCTAAGTGATAGGGTGCTGGAGACAGGCTTACACTTCAAGGTGATGTTAGTTAGTGTGACAGAGGGACTGTCTGGGTCAGATTGCTCCAGGGGACAGTAGAAGCCCAGCACTTAAAATCTCCAGTCTCTATTTTACCAATAGCTAGCAGATGAGAGGTGTAATTTTATAGCATATACAAACCTAGGAAGCCCCAAGTGACTAAAAATTTTGCTTTTGGGGATGTCTATTTTTAAAATTAAATTTATTGGTACATTTTAGGGGGTTATCTATTTTTAAAATAAGTAGATATGTAAAAACTTAAGTTTGCTATTGGTGGGCTTTTGAGCTAAGTCTCAGCTACTCTGAAATAACCTTAGGGGCCAATATACAGGGCTACTTTTGGTACCTTTAAGTAACAAAGACCTATAGGCCAGAGAAGTCTATTTTAGAAGGGATAGTCAGGGACAGCTTCTCTCAACAGGAGATGTTTAAGACACTTTAGAAATTAGAAACAGACAGCTATGGGAAGACCCAAAGGCCCAGGAAGTGGGAAAAAGTTCAACATGTGTGCTCAAGAAACAGAGAGGTGGCCAGAAGGGCTGGTTCCATATGAACTGAGATGGGACAAGGATTAATGAGGTGAGACGGGAAGGCTGACAGAGGCTACTGCTGCTGAATGCCAGGATAAGGAGTGCATTTCTATTCTAAGCCTGATAGCCATTAGTGTTTTGATTAATATTAATATTTTAAACATTCTATTTTATATTTGGAAAGATGCAGGCTGTCATGTGAAGGGAAGAGGAAGCCAGGAGACCAATGAGGAGACTCTAGATAAGAGAAGATGGCAGTTTAAAATTGGGAGAGGAGTGGGCAGATGGCAGAAGTGGGATGGAGCCAGCAATCATGGTCGGGATGGGGAGATGTGAAGATGGAGATAATCAAGGATGACTCCAGGGTGATTGGTGTTTCATTTCCTGAGTTGGAGCAGAGTAGGAACGAAGCAAGTCTGGAGGAAATTGACCTGCCTGTGTGAGTCTCATCTCTGCAGGGAGGTGGACAAATTGATCACACAGTGGGCACTCAGCTGTAAAACTTATTCCTATTGGTAGATTTAGCTGGAGCCTCCTGACTGTTTGTGGAAGGCTCTGGAGGACTCTGTGTAGCCAACTAACAAAATGAGAAAACAGGCCTTGAGCTGTCATTTAGTCAAGAAGCAAAAATAAATTCTTAATTAGCCTTTGCTGACTGCATATTAATTACAGTTCCACTTAACTAGCTGCTTCCTACATGCAAGGGTCGGGTTGGGAGAAAGAGGATGTAGAAGTCAAGGCTGCCCTAAGCTGTGTGTTCTGTGGGGCCTCCTGTCATTTTCATCCTCCCAACAACTTCTTCAAGTAGTTCTCATTATCCTAATTTTATAGATGAAGAATCTGAGTCTTGGGTAGGGAAAAGGAATTGTCCAGGGTCTCATAGCTCATAAACACCTGAGTTGAGGTCAGATTTCTCCTCTTTGGACCCAGAGCTACCTGCTTTGTTATGACATATTTCTTTATTTTCTTTAAATCAACTTAAACTCCAAACTCCATCCCATCTGACAGACCATGATGACACTTTGAGTCCTTACAGAGAGCATCTCAGCTCCTGGCTTAAGGCAAAGGCCGTGTATTCTTAGACCTTGACAAATTCTCTGAGAGAGGCCCTGTCTCTGCACATTGGTACCCAATGATCACCATGGGGATGTCCCCAGTGATGTTGTGGGGGCTCGTGGTTTTGTGGTTTCCATGCTGCTCTGGGACTTGAGAAGCTTTGTCCTTCTAGCTTTGGGGTAACCTCTTTACATCTTTCCATAAAATTCTCCTCTTCCAGAAATACTGAAACATGTTTGATTTATGTTCTGCCTCAGCCTGTCTAGTAGTTAGAGTGCATGAATTGGGCATCTTATTTGTGATTGAGGAAGAGAAAAACACAGGAATCACACACTCAAATTATTATCTCCACCAATTATTCTGGTGTGCTTCTTTTTGCTTCCTTCCAGTTGAGCTTCTGGGTGTAGCATGTTGAAACATGTTAAAGAAGCCCATACTAGCAATAGACCAGAGGCTTTATTTATTTTTAATATTTTATTATAGAAACTTCAAACTACACACCACAGGTGAAATAGGGTATTAAGCCTTCATGTGTGTATTACTCCTGGACAACTGTAGTTTACTCTATACCGTTCCCTACTCTCCTCCATATATATATATATATATATAATATAATACATTATATTATATATACATATATATATTATGGCCATCTTTCTTTTTTTCATTAAGTTTATTGGTACATTTTAGGTGTACAATATGATGACATTCATCATTGGGAATGTGCACCTTTGGAAGATATATCTTGGCTCTTATTTTTTTCCTTTCCCCTGCCCTCCCTTCAACCCCTCCACCCCTCTCTATTTACAAAGACTTTGTTTCCATTTTTTCCTTATCTCAAATTTATTCCTTTCCCTTCTTTCCTTTTCCCTGCCCCTCCCACTTCCCCTTCCCCTTTGCCCCTTTTCTTCCTATTTCACATTATCTATTATACCATTTAGTCCTCATTTACACTTTCAGTTTCTCACACTAGAGAAACTATTCCATATTTATACATGTGTATCCTATTTATTTCACTTAAGAGTATCGCCTTAATGTGCATCCATTTAGCTATAAATGTCTCTACTCCATATTATATTTTGAAGTAAATCCTAGACATGATATCATCTCATCCATAAATATTTCAATCTGTATCTTTTAAGAAGTAAGGACTGGTATTTTTTAAAGGAAGAAGAACTTCCTATCTGAATCCCTTGCTTATTTGAAGTGGAAGACTATGACATCACACGTGATGCATGAGAGATTCTAAGCAATCCTGACTCTACCACCATGTACATCTTGCCCACTCTACTCGCTGCTTCTCTTTCTTCACCAGCAAAGTGCAAATAAGAGTCCTGACTTTACAGATGGGAAAACTGAGGACCAGAGAGGGAAAAGGATCTGCTCAAAGTCAACAAACTTTGTATTGCCTGTGCTAGCTGGAGAGCAATGGATCACTTAAGTATGTCAATACCCCAAGTCCTTTCAAATCAATATTTATAAATAGTTGGTCAGTAGTTTGGAGAGGGAGACTGAGCACTGTACCAGGGAAAGATGAAGAAGGGGGATTACAGTGGCAGTCTCAGCCCATTTTCTTCTCCACAGGTCAGGTCTGGTGTCCATTTGCAGAGCCCCCCATCAAAACCCAAACCCTGTAGTTAGCCAGACTCCTCTGAAAGAGGTGTAGTAATCATCTATTGTTATTGAACTTGCCATGAGAGCTCTTAACCGTACCCTGTCCAGCTTCATTAGTAATTCCTCCCAACCCTACAATGTTCTCTCCCTGAAAGGAGTTGGGATAAACCGAAACAGTATTTCAAATGGAAATGACAGAAAATTCAACTCAATTAGCTCAGCAAAAGAGGCAGTGTATTGGTAAATCCAATAGATTCTGTTTCAGACTTGATTGGATCTAGAGAGGCTACTTCCTGGCCTTGCTTTCCATGATGCTGGCCTCCTCCTCAGGCAGGATTTGTCTTCAAGGTGACAAGACCACTGCCTAGTTCTGGTCTATAGTTCTCCTTTTAGCAATCCAGCAGAAGAAAACGATTCTCTCTCCTGACACTCATTGGCCTAGGTCATGTGACTCTGCCTAAGCCAACCATCATGGGCAGGATTTGAGATATGATGGCTCGATTAGCTCTGGTCAGCCTTGTCCAGCCTCAGTGGAATAAGACTAGTGAATCTCTGGTTCCCCAGAGGAGAATCAACAGGTTGAAGAGAGGACGCATGCTGAGCAGGCAACTAACAGATTTCTTCTCTCTCTAGTTACATTTCCAGGGATATTTAGGTGTCTTTTGGAGATTTGTGCCCTGGGCAGCTACCACTTTTCTGTCCTTCTCACAGCAATGGTTGTGTCAGAGCTGTGATTAGAACTCAGGACTCACCGTTCTCAGCCCAAGCTTGTTTCCTATGTTTGGCAGATGTGGCAAACAGCACATTGTCTTATACTTACCTGGACAAGACTATGCTAGGGCAGGCCTGCTTCTCTCCTTGGTCCAAAGCAGACCCTCAGCCTCACTTAGCCAGACAATCAGGGAACTTTTCCTCCTGATTTGACTTCCAGTTTTCCTATGACCTTGAGCAAACGCTTTACATCTCTGAACCTCAGTTTTATATTTTGGAACATCTGTGAAATGGAATAAAAGACAATGCTTATCTCTCAGGGCTGTGAGAGCTACATGAGCTTGTGAATTGTAAAAGATTGTAGAAAATGGAAAGGATGATACTAACCATTATTACTGCTACCTGCTTCTTCCTCTCAGGAAATGTCCTTTCCTAGTTCCCCATTTCTGCTCCATTTCCCCCAGGGGAGCAGTGACTCTTGATCGAGATGAGTTTTGATGGCTTGGAAGCTTTCATAGCCACCCACTCTTCCTCCTCCCTCCCTGCTGAGCTGACAATTTTGCATGACATCAATTCCTCTGACAGCCGTGTAAACAGATGGTGGTCCCTGCTGCCCAGGGTGCTAGGGAGCGATACCATGGTAACCTGCTAAACTGTGACAGGTTCCAGGATGGTGGGAAATCCAGGACCTTCAAACACACATGCACATGGCTCAGGCAACAGGCTCTGGACTGCAGACAGCAGACAGAGTGGGCAAGGGTGGCTGCACAGCAACAAGGGCATGGACTGAAGGACTCCTCCTACTTGTGTGAGGATGGCTGAGTTACTTCCTCTCTCTGGGCTCTGGGTGCATGAAAGTAATCAGCTCTGACCCAGAGCAGCAAATATTATGGAATTGAAAATGATGAGCTGAGTTTGAGTACACTGCTTGTGCGAAATAAACATTTGTGGAGTGAATAAACAAATGGATCACAGGAACCTAAACACCAGGTGCCCTGAAGTTGGTAGGAAACAGGACTTTTTGCTGTTCTAGGTGGAAAAAGGCAACAAGTCCACATGGGATCCCCATTTTAACATTTGAGACAGGGTCTCTGTAAGTCACTAAGTTGCCCAGGCTAGGATCAACTTGTGATCCTCCTGCCTCAGCCTTCCACAGTGCTGGAATTACAGATGTGTGCCACTACGCCCTGTCCCTTCCTTTTGCTCACTGTCCTCCTCCTGTCCCACATGCTTCATGGCTAGCTAACCAAAGAATATCTCACAGCCAGGCTTGTTCTGCCGCTGACTAGATGTAGCCTTAGGCAACCTACTTCAGCTTTGGAGATCAGTCCATTCATGTCACTGGGAAAGATAATTTGATGGACTAGATTAGGTAACATCTGTACAGTGGGTGGAAGGTTGCCTGGACATCACAAACTCAACAAATAGTAGTGGTATTTGTTATATGAATAATAGAACACCCAGAGTGCTTTCTACAAAAGAGATTGACTTCAGGGAGTGTATAGAATGGGAAAAGCACCAGAAAGGAGACAGATGGACACAGAGCAAGCTATATCTCCTTGGACAAGCCACTTACCTTCTCTGAGCATCTGAAGGGCCCCTGGAAGAGGGCTCATCAGAGTAAGTGCTTGATACAACATAAACTTATGCTAACATCTCCAGAACAAGGATTATTATTATATTTTTGATGGGGAAAATATTTTTATTTTTTAAAATTTATTTATTTTTATTAAATTATTTTATTGGTACATTTTAGGTACACAACACAATTACATTTCTCATTGGGAATTGTACCTTTGCATAATGCATCTTGGTTCTTATTTTTTCCCCATTCCTAGCCCTCCCTTCACCCCTTCCACCCTTCCCTATTTAAAAAGACTTCATTTCCATTTTTTTCATTTCTCATCATTTTTCCTTTCCCTTCTTTCCTTTCCTCTGCCCCTCCCACTACCCCTACCCCTTTGGACCTTTGCTTCCTATTTTACATTATCGATTATTCATTCTAATAATTGGTACATTTTAGGTATACAATATAATGACATTCATCATTGGAAATTTGCACCTTTACATAGTCTCTCTTGGTTCTTATTTTTCACCCTTGCCCAGCCCTCCCTTCAACCCCTTCATTCCTGCCTATTTACAAAGATTTCAGAACAAGGATTATTTCAATGCCATTGAGTGCCAGCATCACCCAAGGAAGGGATTCCTCACATCACATTCCTGGAAGGAGACAGTTTGGCCTGTGCTTCCAAACCTTCAGTGACAGGAAGCCCATTCCTGCCTAGTTGGACAGTTCTGTTATAGCTGGTCTTCTATGGAATTCAAACTTGCTTCATGTGGATTCTTCTCTGGGATTTCTTGTTTTGCCCCTAGAGACTGACTTCCCTCTGCTTTCTTGGGGCCTGGAAGCCTTCTCTGAGCAAAGAAGAGCCAGAGTGGAGTAGATGACCCCAACCGCTACCCCATGGCATCCCATCCCTTTTATCCCCAAAGAGCTTTTGACCTTGTTGGCCAGGATGGAAACATTGAGAGCTTGCAGGCAAGCAGGAGAGATCATTCTTGGGCAGGCTAAGTGGGCCATCTGTCCTTACTGGGTCCAGGGCTGAGCCAGGAGGACCAGGTTGTGGCTGGGCCCAGAATGGAAACCATAGTGAGAGCGTCACTGTCTCACAGGCTGGGCTCTGAGTCTGGATCCCCCAGTTATGGCTGGGTAGGGGATGGGAAGCATGACAACAATTCCTGCCTCACAGGGTTCTGTTAAGAATTAAATGGTCAGAGATATTTTAATGTCTAACATGACTCTTGGAATCCGCTAATAATCTTTCACCCCAAATCTGTAATCAGTGAATGAATTAATCTGTTTCAGACAGAAGCTTCAAATGAACTAAGCTTTTAAAAATTTATTACCCTTTCAGCTTCAAAATTATTTTATGCCTCTTTCAAAATTCATCAGCTTGGGGAAGCTGGCTGCCTTAGTAACATCACTAAGAAAATGTTGATAAGGTTCTGCCAGTAGCAGATACTTCTCTGGCAAGAATGGCATCATCAGAACAGTTTCTGGAAACTTCCAGTCAGCCTCCCTTTGGGGTCATCAAGTTGAGACACCTCTATACTCTTCCGTGTCAGCCACCCCAATGTCATATGACTCCCACCTTCCCTGCAGGAGATAGGGAAATTGAAAGGGGGGAAGCAAAATCCCAAAGAAAGAAAGAAGTAGTCCATGAACCCACAGTTCCAGTGTGTTTTGTGTTGCCGTATCAAAACACCTGAGACGAGGTCAGTTTTAAAGGACAGAGATTTATTTCTGAGACTGCTGGAGGTTGGGAAGTTCAAGGTTATAGGGGCCACAAATGGTGAGGGACTTCATGGTGCATTATCTTATGGAGAAAGGCAGAGAGAAAGAAGCATACAGGAGAGAGAGAGAGAAGAGGGGAAACTCACCTTTTTGTGGTAGTGAACCCACTCCTGTGATAATACCATTAATCTCCCATGAAGGTGGAGCCTTCACAGCCTATTCAACTTTTAAAGGTCTTGCTTCTCAATACTGGTGCCTTGAGAATTAGCTTTCCAACACATGAATTTGAGGGATTCAAAGCATAACTCTCATCCTACTTGTATTACAGGTTCTGGATAAAATTTGGTGGCTTAGACTATTTACTCACTTTGTCCTCAATTCCTTTATGTACTGGGATCACAGAGACAAACACAGGGGAACATGTAATGGAAGAGGACAGAAGTCTTCAACACTTCCTTTATATCCTGGTCCTGAACAAGTCATGGAATCTCTAATCTGGAGTCCAAGTGAGAGACTATATCCCTAAGCTTGTTGCCCAAAGGGGTTCCAGGGAGGAAGTGTCATCACCCATAGCCCCTGGACACTTCCTGCATGGTGAAACTTATTGCTTTGCCAAAGGACTCAGGATAGGGGAAAGATTACTGCAACAAAGGTGGAAAAACATGAGTTCTGGTCTTGCCTGTGTAGCTAAGTGGCTACAAGACTTTGGACATTCATTTCCTCATATGACACATCAGAGTGTTGGATTAGCCAATGGTAGTAATCTAGGTAGCATCATTACTTGGCTGCTTCATATGCACTAGATTCATAGTTGAGTACAT